GGATAGTCCTACAACCCGTGAATGTGTGAGGTTAATCTGGTACATCACAATGTCACCGATAGGTTTACTTGCCGGGATGTGGGAATTCCCGAGTGTTGAATTGCCAGCCGATGCGAAGTCGACAACTGCGCTGAGGAGGAAGCTGATTAATACGCATTGCAAGGAGTAAGGTCTTTATATGTTGGTGCATGAACACAATTACATACTTCGTATTCTTCTTATGTGTCCTTTTGTCCTGAAATTGTGGTGCCATTCTCTGGTTTGACCCAATTATAACATAGAGCAAGTGAAAAGAGTCATAATAGTATCCATTTGGCATTCGTTCAAATGTTCTGTGAATTACACAAATAGACCGCCAGACGGTTGGAACCAGATACAGAGCCGTACCAATAAATGCAAAGTCGTACACACGCCCGCCATTGCATTTTACCTTGCATATTTACGGCAAAAATGACATCCGAGACCCGGTTGAAACCATGACAACACTTCAAACATGTGTATGTAGAATGCTGATGTCAACATCTACGTGTCACTTTTCTGACACGTTCGACAACTTTGACATCTTCACATCTATCCGCGTGACACAGAGACCTGCAGACGGATATAGTCGGGTATAAAACCCGACAAGAGATGGGGGAGGTATTGCACAAGTTCTCGCACATCCACAACACCTACCACGTCGAGCTCATATGCTTTGCTGAAGCAATCTACCTACAGAACAACGGCAACGACACCAGCCGCACGTTCCAATGGGTGCCACTGGAGGACATGGAGGTATGTCCCACAGCTATAATCGTATGTGTTTAAGTGTATGTATGTGTAGGAGTTCATGTGTATGAGTGTATATGTGTAGGTTTGTTTATATGTATGAGTGGATAAAGGTTGGTAGAATTTGCCACAGCCGTAAACTTAAGTGCTGAAGTGTATGTATGTGAATGCAAGAGGGTGTACTGGCCAGGTGGGTTTCGGTAGGATACATAGCGCCAGTAACGACAAACGTTCACATCATATGTTGTGTATGGCACCACTCAGAAGTTAGCCCTGTCCACGGCAATGCGGAAAGTGCTGAAGTTGGCAGAGGGTACCACAAAACAAAAATCAGGTCAGAATCAAAAATCGGGAGGGAAAGATGAGAAATCGTCCCTGAAGCAGCCCAAATTAACAGCCATGTTCGTCAGAAAAGCTAAGGTAATTAAGAGTGGGTGTGCAGAGCTGCTCGAGCGAGTGCAATATCGACTAGTTATATGTAATGCTGCTTTATTTACTGTCGTGATATTTTATGTTACTAGTTAAATCTGCAAAAGCCTGGGACGTGTTCGTTGGTGCAATCGTTACCAGTACGAAATGACACACAGGAGACCTTTCTATCTGCAAATCTTTATTTCTCTTTGTTATTCATACTTTATGTATAGTGGTAGTCTACCTAGTATTCTCCATTATGTGTTTATTGGACGACCAATGATGACCATCACATTCTCAAGCTATTTGTTGGCATTTCTTCACCAAATGGGACGTATTGATCGTTAGTGATCTTGGTGACTTTATGATGATCATTGTTGATCTTGGTGACTCCGTTATGATCGTTAGTGATTTTGGTGACTTCATATTGATCGTTAGTGATCTTGTTGACTTCGTATTGATCGGTAGTGATCTTGGTGACCTCATATTGATCGTTGTTGATCTTAGTGACTTCGTTATGATCGTTAGTGATCTTGGTGACCTCATATTGATCGTTGTTGATCTTAATGACTTCGTCATGATCGTTAGTGATCTTGGTGACTTCATATTGATCGTTGTTGATCTTGGTGTCTTCGTTATGATCGTTAGTGCTCTTGGTGACCTCATATTGATCGTTGTTGATCTTGGTGACTTCGTTATGATCGTTAGTGCTCCTGGTGACTCCGTATTGATCGTCAATGATCCTGTTGACTTCATATTGATCGTCTTTGATCTTGGTGACTTCGTATTATTCTTTATCGACCTTGGTAACTTGCTGATATCGACTCTGCAAACGATGTAAACGACGCGTTGTCTTTCAAGCTCTCACTCGTTGCGGTCCTTACTCGTTTTTTTTCTTACTAGGGCTGAATGGGGGGAGGGGGGGTTTCGAGTATCGAATTTCCCAAGTTATTTTCCGATGAATTGTATTTCCGGGACCGGTAATGGCTTATTCAGGGACCTCTAACGGTTCATGCCGTGTTCATAATAGTTTTGCACACGCAAAGCTCTGACTGCGTTAACGTGCACAGACGCACGATCGACTGAACGATGCTAATATGTGCGAGTACTAGTATAAGCCATGTATTTTCTCGAGCATGGCGTATAGCTGTGCACACGAGATTAGTCGGTGACATACGACAAGTATACCGATGTTGTAAACACGGGTGTCTACGGGCAACGAGTCGTACGCGACTGTTGAATAAAACCGCAGAACGCCCACCAAATAAAATTGGTTTTAGAAATGTGCGTAGATTCAGCATGGCGACTGATTAGGAATTGTTTGTATCTACTGGATAACTAGAGTTGTATATTCCATCTGAATATCAGACCGTTTCTAGAGTATTCGTGCGTAGGTATGTAAGCGGTAGACAATAAACACACCACTAAGCATATGAGTCGCAGATATACGTACACTTGTCGAGATGTGTGTGCTTGACTGACCGCTATGTTATTTTAGATCATACATGTTTACTACGCAGAAGGCTCGCGGACGTCCATAGGCGTGCATCACGCCTACAGAATTGGATATACAGATACTATATACATGTTTATGGTGAGGTTTTTATCAATTTATGTTTCATCACCGCAGACCATGACCACATACGGAGAATATTTTTGAAGTTCCAAAGTGTGTTAGGTAAATCGGCGTTTCGATAGTCCTCGCTATGCTAGAGTGTAACTGTAGTTGTACATGCTAGAGTATAGTTGCTGTCGGCCAACTGCGTATCAAACGTTTTCGAGCGAATGAAGTAGTTCCTTATCTCATTCAATTGGTCAAGATACTACGAAATTTCGAATGTGGACTTGTGGCGTTTTATATAGTAATTTTATTCAAACATCCAACCAAATATTTTACACCATCGCACCATACGGCCGGATTTATACGGTACAACAGCCAGGCCAAGTAGCATATAGTCGGTAGTGTGTGGATGGCCTGTGACGGGCCGAGTAGTTGGCCTGACGTTTGAATTAACATATATATATATATATATATATATATATATATATATATTATTATTTATTATACTATATATATTGTCTA